AAATATAATGAATATATTCTGGCATTTATTGCGGGCTATCATTGAGGAGGTGTCCGACTCGACGTCTTTCTCGCCATTGGATGCCATCATATAATCGGATCCGTTGTCCCGATCTTCCCGTCGGACGTAATCGACAATCATATAGACTAACCACCAAAGGATGGACACCATGTGTGCCGTCCGTACTGTCCATAGGGTTATACTCAACACGAAGTACTCGTTGTGGCCGAGAGTCGAGTGGACGGGTGTTATCAGGTAGTAGTCAAACGCGTAAAACACTAGACATCGCATGATTTCCAGTATTGGCGCCCATTTTCTGTAGGATTTGGTGTGAATTTTGTGGTAAAAATTTAATTAAAAATATTAATTAAGATTTTGTATTGATTTTAAACTCAAACCTGTTATCAAATATAGCACCGAAAGCCGTCAACAGGAATATGATGTAAAACATGCCAATCAGGCCTTTCATCGGCGAAAATCGCTGAGTGTTTAAAAAAATTAAATGTATACACAATTATAACTGAATTAAATGTAATTATAAATGCAATAAAAAAGGCATACAATGAATGGATGGTCGGCGAGAAGATAGAAACCCAATACAACAAACGCCCCGTGAAAGCCGATGTAAACCATTTTCCAAAACGGTATATACGGGTCGTGACTGTACTTCGGGAGACTGCGGTCCGGTTCGGGCACATCGGATATCAATCCCAACCGGGGTTTGCCGGGCATCCAACCCGGACCCTTAAACAGGGCCGACAGCTTATTGCCCACGCCTTCAACCGTATTAAACTTGTGCCAAATGTCGCGATAGTAACCAAACTGAAGGGTCATGGAGTCAAAGGTCTTGGGCACCGGCGACACCACACCGAACACAATGGGGTCCTGTTCTGTCTGATGGGTGCCAAATAGTCGGTCCCATACCATGATGAGCGCCCCGTAGTTCTTGTCAATACAGTAGGGATTCTTGCCGTGATGTACCCGATGCTGACGGGGAGTATTGATTATGTACTCAATGGGCCCGAGATTACCGATCACTTCGTTGTGTAACCAGATTTGATAGATTAGACTGAACTGAATGTGCACCACAAGTATGGGCGGCGGGATTATGATGGCCAATGGGAGTGGGAATATCTGCATTGTTTTGGTGATTAGGCAATTATTAATTACAATTGGTAAATGTATTTTACAATAGTTAATAGTTTTTACTAAAAAATTATTTTCATATTGATATTTTTTGTTATTTGTTTAAATTCTGTATTGCATTATAATAAAAATATCCAATTTTATAAAGCATTAATCTTGAATACCGTAATAATGAATATTGCATTGTAAACTGTAAACTATTATAAAAGTAACTATTTATATATGATTCCCAACAAATGGTTTGCTATAACTGGAGCCGTAGCAACCAAATTAATGTTTTGCATATATATAAATTACTTAAAGTTATAATTTTGATTTGTTCAGCTAGATTTTGTCACATTGTTTGAATTCAAAAATTAATAAAAATTAATCTCAAATGTTGCTAAAACTGTATGTATTGATTAGGGTGTTTATGTACTTATATACGGGATTAAATATTAGTTTAAAAAAATACTCACATCATATATAACCAAATCGACGATCGAGTCCCGGATGGTTGTGGTAATGTTGACGTCTTCGGCCATGTGGTGGAACTGATGGGCAGCCCATAGTATGTTGAACTCGTGGAGCGCCCGATGAGTCCAGTAGTAGACAAACTCTACCAATAGTAATGATAAAACCCATGTCCACACAGAATGCAGGGGCAGGTCTACCACTCGGTAGTTGGTGTAGAGCCACGTGAATATTGTGATGACCAGGCTCAGTAGAAATACCCTGTTAATTTGGACATGGTTATTAAATCACAAATATTTTTTATGTGTTTATTAGTTACCAATCTATTAATATTAATAAATATTAAAACTACAGTTAGTATATAAAATGTTTTGTTCTTTCTATGTAAAAATTCTTGTGCAGAATTGATGTCCAAGACTTTCCTCAATCGATTTGATAATACTTTTTAATAATATTAATAAATAATAAAAATTGTTATTTTATGTGCAAATTGAGGTCATATTATGGTTTGGCGACAAATATTTGGTTTAGATTTTTTTGCTTATAATAAAGTATTTTTTGTAAGATTTTATAAATTTGTTCAATTTGTTTGATTAATTGTTATATTTTATTAATTAAATGTAATTCAATACTAGATTTATTGCGATTACATAACAACCAAAACGCGTTTGTAATCAGTAATTAAATTTTTGTGTATATAATACATGTTATAATTATCACTACTTTTACTACTTTTATGTCAATCATAAGCCCAGTGTCTGTGTCTTAAAGCAAAGCATTTCATTATCACTAGAAATGTGGAGCAAATAATTTGCATTTAATGCCCACAAAACTCATGTGTTTTTTTTTTTGTTGTTATCAATGAAAATATTTTTAAAATTAAAGGATAATTTTGCTAAACATCTGATGAAATACACTTGAAATTGACTGCAATTTTATTAGATATCACAGCATTTGAGATAAGAATTTGCAATGAATTTTTGCTAAAAAGCGATCAAGTTTTAGGATTTGTAAAATATTTAAAAAGCTGAATCTTCCTCTAAATTGGTATTATTCGCTGCGAAAAATGACTTTTAATTAAATGTTTTAATTCCCGTTATATATTGTTATCTAATGATCGGTTTTATATTTACAAAGTGTGACCTGATTTACAAATTATATATAATTTATATCAATAAATAACATATTTCAAAGATTATGTAAATTTTCATTTGATTGTTACAATAAAATCAAACCACAAATATTTGATTTACATAACTAATTAAAATAAAATTTACCATCAGCATGAATCATTTTCTAACTAAACGGTTTATATTTAAATTAAGCATATTCTTTGCACAAAATATGCAATTTGAAATATAAAACTAGCAAAATATATTAAATTTAATTAGAAAATTAACTAGAATAATACTGATCGCGTTGCATTACGTGTACAAAATCTACATATTTAATATAGCAGGCATAAATAATAAATTGAACACATACCGGGCTAATGTAAATATGAGGGCCGAACCCGTATTGATGACCAGATCTGGAAATCTGGACAATTGTTTTCGTTGGAAGAATCGGATGACCTGTTCGATGACCAACAGAAGACCAATCGCTGGTATCAACTGTCCATTGAATTAAAGAACAAATTATTATAACATAAAAAACATGATAAAATAAATACAAAGTTTCAATATATGAATACTTACGGCCACTTCATAGTCGGGCACCAGATAGGGGTCATCGCGTGTGGTCTCCATCGGAGAGATGATATAAAACAAGGACAGGAACTGCTCGGCAAACCTGTCCAACCCATCGCTCAGACACTTTTGGCCAGAAGTCATGGCCACGGAATTGTTGAGCTCAACCATTGGCTCTATCATTGCTTCTTCTACTACTTCTTCGCCACTGATTTGATTCAATTGGTGACCAAAAAACACGAGTTTTATATATAAATAATACAATAATTATATAATAAAAAGTTTTTGGTGCTTAAAAAGAGCGCATCCGATGATAGGGAACGGTTGACAACACTGTTATCAATTGCTTTCACACTCTTTAATGTAAATCATTTGAAAAAATGATTTCTTTTTGTATTTGTAAGGAAAGAATTGAACGAATTTTTTCCTTTTAAAATCAAACAACTAATTAAAAACGATTTCAAAATATCTTTTTGAAATCAGCAAAAAAAAACACTTTTCATTTCATTCAATATATAGTTTATATTAAATATATTTAAAACAAAATATAAAACTTTTTATTCATTAAACCATACACTGTATTGCCATTGGTTTACCAGAATATTCCCTTTAGATTAGTTTAGAAAGTAGTTTACGTTAACATGTGATGGAAGAGAGACTGTTTGGAGGGACTGTCAGGCAGTGTGAGAGCACTCTTGCCTTTCAATATGTTTATATACTTGGGATGGTTTGCAAACAGCATCTTAGGCTCGACCACTCATGTCAATAATCATGATAAATATTCATTTTAACTATAATATACTGTGCATTATTGAGAGGGGAGTGAAAGTGAAAATAGACGAGAGAGCGAGAGAGCGAGAGAGAGAGAGAGAGAGAGAGAGAGAGAGAGAGCTGTTATATAGCTAACTGACCCTCTATTGGTTGTGACCAAGAATTTTGTTTCTCTTGAATATTGTAAATGATTTTTGGTTTTATTCCACTATTTATTGCAAACGAAACTAATTATGAGTTTACAAAGAAAAGTGAATTTAAAATCTCATTATAAATGTTAGTACACTATAATATACAGAAGGTTAATAATAGGCGAGGTATACCTAAAAATGCACACATTATCTATAAAATCGTGGTAAACATGAAATACAAGATAAATGTAAAAATATACGTCAATTCAAAATCAATGCTAACTATGATAAACGAAATTTTTTTTGAGACAATTTTTAATATCTATTAGTTATACATATATTAAACTATAACTATAATGTGGTTCAATTCATTCTCACATCAATATACACAAATACATGTATATATTTAAATGTGAATTTTAAATAAATTGACCAAGGATAGTCAATTTTGCTTATATAATGTCTAATATTTAGCGCATATATTTAATGTTGCATAATTTCAATGCAATTGTTATTATAAAATATTGTTATACCGGTATATTTTAGTAACAAATAAATTTTGTAAACATATTAAAAAGACATACATTTTATTAAAAGAATTCGTTTTTAGTTATGAATGATGAAAATGTTGACCATGATTTCCAGTCCGTTAATAATAAATGGCAAAAAAACTAAAGACTATTTTCGCCTAATTTTTCCACATATTTATTATCTAATAATATAATAATTGATGGCATTCTTGTCCTTCAAAAGTTTGTTCACTTTTCTTGCAATTATTTATACCATAAAATATAATACAATTACGGATTATTATAAATTGTATAAATATTATAGACCCACCATGGTAATAACTTTTAGCACAACAAAGAGGTCTACGTGATATAAACCATAACTATTGGTAATAATAACCGTAATGTTTACAAACGGTGTAAGATCACTTTAAACAAGGCATTTTAAATTATAAATTCAAATTGTAACAGCTTTTATACAGTGTAAACTATTTCAGTCATTAACTAATTTTATAGCAATATTTTGTAAAATGCAATAAATTGTGGTTTATTTACTACAGTATGTTTTAGTCCACAATCAAAAATCCAAATTTTAATTCATTTGTATTGCAGACAAAATCAGTACTCATTTTGTGTATCTGTTATATAAATGTGTAATATATTTGACTCCAAACGCCGTTTGAAAAGACATTGAAAGAGAGATAACTTATTGACCCAAAGATGAACATAATTGTCGTCCTTCACAAAGTCATGCTTTCTTTTAATATATAATTTCAATATTTATGGAAAATTAGATACATTTTTGACGCAAATGAACTTTTTCGTTACCACTTGCTCTCTCTCTCTCTCTCTCTCTCTCTCTCTCTCTGGACTTTCAGTTAGCATTTATATAACAACTCTTGAGATCTCTCTCTCTCTCTCTCTCTTTCATTCACTCTCACGATAAGTATGGATTATGTTGTAAGCAAATGATGGCCAAAATTAGTTAACTTTAAATTATATTATCTATAAATATAAAATTTATAATATTTAATAATAATTAAATTAACAATTGCATAAACATGGTTGAATTTATATAAAATTATATAATGTTTATTTTAAATACAGTAGTTAAATACATTTCAAATTAAAAACATATAAAAGTATTCAACAACATAACAATTTAATTAAACATGCTTAAAATATATTATTAGCTAATTCAGTGCAAATTATTATTACGTTAATACAGGGATAAAAACAAATGTATGACAAATACAATGCAACAATCAATAAAAAAAATGCACATGTTAAAATAAATATAATATATCACATAATTGTCGGACCCTTTAATATAAAGATAATAAAGAGTTGTAAATCAAGATCAGCGTTGATTTGGCCTCAAAAACAAAGTAATGTTTTAAAAAAATGAAATGTTGGCCAAAGAAAAAGCGGATAAACTTGTTTTGGTTGCAAACAATTGCGGACCTAAATTGCGGTATGAATTGCTATTTTTTACCATTACATTACACATCATACGAAAAAACACTATTTATAGACACCAATTGATAAACAGGCCTGAATACCATGGGCTAAATTATTACCATTGCATTGTACACTATACACAGTACAATATACCTCCTATGATAGACTCATTTAACACACAAATAGCACACTTATATAGTGTACGCGAAGTTCATTATAACGAATACCATTTAGAAAATTTATGTTCAAAAACACAATACATATTTTGAGTTTTGTCTAAGAGTTTATGAGTTTTTCTTTATTGAACGGATGTATTGAATACTGTGTACTGTTTATAGTGAACATCTTGACTGTATTTAAACCGGTATTTTAATAATCCGGTACATCTTTCATCATTTTTGGCGTAAATTTACCATCAGTTTTGACTATTATATCGTATTCATAATATGCAATGAAATTCACTTATCAGATGATTGTCAAAATTATTTTGTGCATAAAATTATGTGTCAATTGTGAACAGGATTTACACTGTTTAGCGACAAAATTAAAAATTTGCTGATATATTCATAATACTTATATAGATTTGTTGTTAAGTTTTATGTTTTGCTTTTGTTTTTGTTTTTTATTTGTGGTTAATATGTTATAATATTAATAATAATTATATTTATATGCATTTGTGGTGATTTATCATTAAAACCTTGAATCAAATTATAAATAATTTTACCATAAATTGTCAATGAATTTGTAATGATTGAAAATAACTAAAACAAAACACAGACTACATCTCAGCGGTTAAGACATGATATCAACGGACAGTTTATGGTATAGTTTGGACAAGTATTGGGACGATATCGGCGACCGGCGTGTCAACCATTGGGCGCTAATCAATGGCGGCATTTGGCGCATATTGGTCTTAATGGCCGGTTATATACTACTCACGAGAGTTTACTTACCATATCATATGAAGAATCGGTAGTTTAAATTGAGCCACGTGAATTTTCTAAATTAATTTTTGTTATTATTTTTATTTTTGTTCCCCAGAAAAGAGTATGAATTAAAAAAGTTGATGCTATTTTACAACATAGTTATGGTGTGCGCCAACATCTATGCATTTTATTGGGCAGTGATAGCCGTGGACAGGGGCCGCATATTTCTGGACTTTAGGTACCCCTCACCTGATGATAGATCTACAGACACTTTATGGTATCTTTATTTAGGTTTGTATTATATTTAATATGTTTTAATTTATTTTGTAGTTTAGGTACGAATTATTTATTTGTTTTACTAGTTTATTACCATGTGTATGTTATAAACAATAATTTAAATATGATATTACCATAAAATTAGCCGTTTTACATAACATTGAAATACAGGTGAATAACTTCATGTATTTATTTAAAAAACATATTTTTATGATATAGTTGTAAAAGTTTAGGATTTGTTTAACTATAATAGTTAAAAGTAAATAGTTTTAAATAGCATATATTAGCACAGAAAACGATATCTTGATGTTTAGTTTAGATGATTTTAGGCAAAATCTATTCTAAATAAACCTATTATACATCTATCTGAAGACGTAAATCGAGGTGAAAAGTAATCACCCACTTCACAATCGACCTCCAAAAAGCACATGATCAAATTAAAGGGTTAAATAACTCATTCAGCATAATTGCATACATAAAGTTAAATTATAAATGAGCTAAATTACAATTAAATGTACATTTATATGTATAGTTAAACCTAATTGCAATAACAATTAAATTAATATTAACTAACAAATAAACATGTTTATTTCCCATCTGGGTGACCGCACTAATGATGATAGGATGGTTCTTCATGGTGTCTCGACTGCTGGATCTATTGGACACTGTATTCATAGTGTTGCGCAAAAAGGACAGCCAGATATCGCCGCTACATCTCTATCACCACACAGTGGTTCCCATCCTATGCTGGGTATCATTCAAATACAACGCTATGATACCAATCATCCGGATGTTTGTGCTGCTCAACAGTGCCATACATACCCTAATGTACGGCTACTACGCTTTGGCCGCGTTTGGGCCGGCGGTGCGGCCCTACCTGTGGTGGAAACGGTATCTGACAATGTTTCAGATATGCCAGTTTGTCATATGCGGCTCATACGGCTGTTTACTGTATTATAAACAGACCGGTTATCCCATGGATTGGTTTTATTTCGTCGTCGGCCAGAATCCGCTCTTTTTTCTCATGTTTTATGATTTTTACCGCAAAAGTTATCGCAATAATAATAATGCTGTCAATTGTAAAAAGTTGTTGTAATGTATTTAATGAA